TTAATTAAATCACTGAACATTGTAGATTTATCTATTACCCAAAAGAATGTATGTAATACGTGTACAGTAAATAAGAAGTTTTGGGCAAAGGGTGACAATCGTGGCTTTGTCAATATTACAGAAGTGACAAATAAAAAAAAAAGAAAAAAATGATGTTGTAGGAAATATCTATATTTTCTTATGTCTATTAGAGTGACACTGACAATGGTATGTGCTGTCTTTTCTATTCAGAATAGTACACAACAGTGGGCTTTTTTTTTTTTTTTTTTTTTCATTTTTCATTGAATTCACAAAGAGTATATGATTGCGTTATATCCTTCGAGACTAGAAAATGTGCGAGAATCCATTTGAGATGGGGTAAACTTTTCAGCCATAATTGTTAATGTCAACATGCTGGAAATGTAGTCTTAAATAGCAATAGAAAAGCAACTTGCAAAAAAAAAAAAAAAAAATGCAAAGCGTGAATATTGATGGTTGTACAAAAGACTAATTCTACAGAACTAACAGGAAAGCAACCAAAAAAAATATCCATGGATAAAATCTGCTAGCTTTAATCCCCCCCCTCTCTTCTTCCATCATTTTTGGCGCTGATTTCTGTTGATTATCAGCATTGTTTTCGACAGCAACTTGCCATTAAAATAGAAACAGTGAACTGAATTCAGACCAAGGGTTGGAATCTGATGTTTTAATTAGATTTGATAATTTGATTGCAGGCAAATAAGTTAGCCACTATTAGTTCAATTACCAGTGTATTAGGAAAGATTGGACCAAAATAGACGCAATGAACAGGGCCCTTAGGGCTTTTGTCTGTTCTGAGAGAAAAAAAAAAACATCATCAAGGCTTTACGTAAAGAAAAAACAAAAAGAGAAAAGAGGTGAATGGCCTTTCAGATCATTTGTTGCGTGCAACTTGAACATTTTAAGTGCATGATTAGTCATTGGTGAAATTTTCAACTGAGTGATTTTATGAAACGGGCCACAAGCTTACTGAATTGCTGCAGGTCACATTCAGGTCTACCGAAATAATATATTATAATGTTGCATGTTTGGCAGATTAGTAATACTCTTAGAAAGGTAGCTTTGAGAGAAGTACTTTTACTGGATGATACCTATTCCTGAATGAACCCTGTGGCATAATAATAGAGTTTTCATTTTTAGATATCAAAATGCAGATTAATGATAATAATATTATAGACTTCAAAACTATGTCAGAAAAGTACATATTGTATACTTTTTTAATTGGCATCAGTTGTGGAAAACTTGCTTTATGCAACACTTCCTTTTATTTATTAAAAAAAAACCTATTTTATTTATTTATTTATTTATTTATTTATTTATTTATTTATTTTATTTTTGATGGCAAAGATTAGGTGCCAGTTTATATGCCTGGGATTCCATGTTTGTTGTTAGGTTTCTATGCAGCTGTTGAATATCAAAAACATTATTTTCTATACCAGCTGAATACATAAAAAAGCTTCAGCAAACAGGCTTCATCCCTGCCCATTGTTAGACTACTACTGCTACTACTACAAGCTATTCTCCACAAGTTGGCAACAGAAACTTGACTGCCAGTGTAATACGTTCCACTTCATAAAGCAGATGTAATGATTAGGTGTAGGCTGCTTTTACGGCTGGCTGACTGCAAGCTGTGACGGGTCATGTGACACGAGCAAGGGCCGAGTTGGGAATTTGCAGCAGTATTTGTAACTGGGAGTGTAAATCATGTTGTCTTTGTGGCCATTACATGCATTGTAAGGTGAGACTTTGTGGCTGCCATTGTGAGTAGAGCTTGGTCAAGTGGTCAGATTGTTTGTTGCATTGGTTAAAGCGGTCAAAACAAGGTGTGGACAGTGTCTCAGTTGCCTGTCTGGCTTGCAGGACTTAGACATTTTGCAGTTTATTTTAGTTGTGGTAAAAGAAACATAGTAGATTTGCTAGGTGAGCATTTGAAGAGTCGGGCTCACGTACACTGATGTACAAAGAACTTGAAGCTGGAGATGATAATACTGAGGTAGATGTCAGAAAGAATAAGACAAGATAGACACAAAATTGCTTTTTATGACGCAAACTTCTATTGCTGTCATTGGTGGGGACATCGCTTAGCAAAATATATATAAAGCAGATGCAGTGTTTCTTCAGCACATGTCATTATCAGCGGAGAGGACGAATAGTACTGTGTTGTATTTAACAGTGCTGCATTGAGTTCTACGTATCATATATTTATTCAATGTCTGTAGTTGGTGAGGGTTGTGTTACATTGCTCAGTTCATTACAGGGACAACATATTGGTGTGATTATGTCATGTGGGCTGCACATCAAAGAGTTGCAGTAAATTACAGAGAAGCGTAACTAGGAAAGTAGAAAGGAGCCTAGGGCAATTATTCTGATGTTGTAGCAAGTTTCTGGGCATGGAGGAATAGTAACAGTTCTGTATCACAAAGACCTAAATATATTAATACTGAGACTTTGTATGAAACAAACAGGAACCATGTCGAATAGGATAAGAATACATCAGAATAATAACAACACACCAACGTCCCAGACAAATGGCAGCTCTGCGCAGATTCCGCCTTCCATTCTGGTCCAGGGGGAGGAGCGGAAGAGTCAACGACGGCGCAGTAGCATCCACGTGCCGATTCCCCTGGAGCTACAGAGACGCAGGTCTAGCGGTAGCTCTGTGGATTCTTATTGTGAGTATATATAAAAAATTGTTATCACACACTGTACCACACAAATGGATTAATAACAATATCCATCATAGCAGTGGTAATTTGTGGACTATTATGGTTGCATTCAGAACAAGTTGATCCGAGGACTAAATATGGCCGACTAACTTAAAAGCTGTGCCAACTAATTCCCTGACTGCCTCCACACAAGCCGTCGCTGCAGGGGCCTTGCAATTAAACCTGAGATTTAAATCCATTTAATGGCGCGTGTGGAGGCAGGGAGACCATCAGAGGATTAAGCGGCGCTGCCGTGAAGTTTAGGCGGCCATATTTAGTCGGCAGGTCAGTTAGTTCGCAGATCATCTGTTCTGAATGGTCTCTAAGTATATAAATATATAATGTTATGCAAAGGCCTGTACATTAGGGAAATGTACACAACCCCTTTACAATTGACAGGCAACAGAGGTGACACTGATAGATTTATCTATTAAAATACCAATTGGGTTTTGTATGAAGTAGAAACTTAGATAAATGGCCATTTATGGGGGACAATAAAGGATGAGAAGAGGGCACAGACGTGGCATAATATCAATGAAGTTAAGATGGATGTTGTTTTGGGCCTGTCACTTTTTCTTTTTAATGTGACTGCGGTGTTTGGTCATATCGAATTAAATGCTTGTCTCTTTTGCCATCAAACTTAAATGTGAGTGTTATCATGGCTCATTCTGTCATTTAATTTGGGTACATATTATTCAGATAACTCCTTCCAATTAATGGTTTTGCAATATTAATCGCCCTGACAGTCTGTGCTATGGATGCCTTCTAACTTAATTGCGTGTTCATAGAATATGCACAAGTGGCAAGAAGGAATATCACCTTGGATAAAATTGCACCAGTGGTTTGTCCTTGTTTTAAGCCCTGTATAACAGATGAAGAAGGCGTGAAAAGTAATGGATGACCTTGGCGGAGGTCTGCTTTAAAACTTAAACTATGACTATGTATTTTCTGAATCACATGACTAAGTCCCCATAGTAAACTATGACAAAAAGTGATAAAACTTTTTAGAATAAAACTTTTTAGAATAAATGGTTAAACATTAGCTGGTTGGTGGATTTTTTGGTTGAACAGCTAGCTGGTAAGACAGTTTACTGGTTGGCTTAATGTCTGTCTTAATGGTTTGATAGCTGGTTTGCCAAATTGTTGGAGGAGTGTGTAGTAGGCTAGATAGATGGCTGGCTGGTTGGTTGGTTGGCTGGTTGGTTGGTTGGTTAGAAGAATGCATGGGTGTTTGGTTGGTTGCGATTGGCTAGTTTGTTTCAGGAGACAAGGGCTTGATAGATGGTTGATTGGTTGGTTGGTTGGTTGGAAAGAAGGAAGAATTGATGAATGGTTGGTTAGTCATAATTGGCTAGTTTGTTAGAGGAAAGTTTGGTGGGCTGGATAGATGGTTGGTAGGTTTGAAGGATGGCTGGTTGGCTATTTGGTCGAATGGTTGGTTTGATGGTTGGCTTACTGCCTGGTTGTTTGCTTTCTTATATCGAACTGGTTTAATGGTTCATGGGCTGACTGAACATCATACTGGCTAGTTATGTATAGTTGAATGATTGTGTAATAGCTGTACTAACACAGTGTGAAATCTGCGGGTAAACTGTCTCACCTTTTATGGTATTCTGACAAATGTAATGCATGATTATTCACAAACATTAGTACGTGGTAACATGCTCATTTGGTGGAATCTGCTGTCTCTAATGTTGTAGAATTTTAATGTGTTCTGAGTTTGAGATGATACTAGCTTCTGCTTATAGCACTTTTACTCTTGGTCAATTCTATGATCCATTGGATTGACTTTTTTCTCTAACATGACCGCCATAATTGATTTTGTTTCTGGAACCATTTGTATTTATTGTTGTTGCTGACAGCATATCATGATGGTATACAATATTCAACATAAGGGTTGATCGTAATTTCTGCATCATGCAAGTTTTTTAGTCTTAATCAATTGTGTACAGCTCCCTTGCTCAAGGAAATGGGATTTTAGCTTGTGGTTTTAATTGGAAACTTTTTTCTTGTAGCCTATACATTTACTAATTTGAATATAAGAATTGGTTTAAAGATCTACCCTATTATGCGACACTAATGTTTGTGTTGTATTCTGAATNAGACTACTACTGCTACTACTACAAGCTATTCTCCACAAGTTGGCAACAGAAACTTGACTGCCAGTGTAATACGTTCCACTTCATAAAGCAGATGTAATGATTAGGTGTAGGCTGCTTTTACGGCTGGCTGACTGCAAGCTGTGACGGGTCATGTGACACGAGCAAGGGCCGAGTTGGGAATTTGCAGCAGTATTTGTAACTGAGAGTGTAAATCATGTTGTCTTTGTGGCCATTACATGCATTGTAAGGTGAGACTTTGTGGCTGCCTTTGTGAGTAGAGCTTGGTCAAGTGGTCAGGTTGTTTGTTGCATTGGTTAAAGCGGTCAAAACAAGGTGTGGACAGTGTCTCAGTTGCCTGTCTGGCTTGCAGGACTTAGACATTTGGCAGTTTATTTTAGTTGTGGAAAAAGAAACTAGATTTGCTAGGTGAGCATTTGAAGAGTCAGGCTCACACTGATGTACAAAGAACTTGAAGTTGGAGATGAAAATGCTAAGGTAGATGTCAGAAAGAATAACACAAGATAGACACAAAATTGCTTTTTATGACGCAAACTTCTATTGCTGTCATTGGTGGGGACATCGCTTAGCAAAGTATATATAAAGCAGATGCAGTGTTTCTTCAGCACATGCCATTATCAGCGGAGAGGACGAATAGTACTGTGTTGTATTTAACAGTGCTGCATTGAGTTCTACCTATCATATATTTATTCAATGTCTGTAGTTGGTGAGGGTTGTGTTACATTGCTCAGTTCATTACAGGGACAACATATTGGTGTGATTATGTCATGTGGGCTGCACATCTAAGAGTTGCAGTAAATTACAGAGAAGCGTAACTAGGAAAGTGCAAAGAAGCCTAGTTGTCTGTAATAATTCTGATGTTGTAGCAAGTTTCTGGGCATGGAGGAATAGTAACAGTGCTGTATCTCAAAGACCTTTCGTGAATAGTTTTACTCAGACTTTGTATGAAACAAACAGGAACCATGTCTAATAGGATAAGAATACATCAGAATAATAACAACACACCAACGTCCCAGACAAATGGCAGCTCCGCGCAGATTCCGCCTTCCATTCTGGTCCAGGGAGAGGAGCGGAAGAGTCAACGACGGCGCAGTAGCATCCACGTGCCGATTCCCCTGGAGCTACAGAGACGCAGGTCTAGCGGTAGCTCTGTGGATTCTTATTGTGAGTAAATATAAAAAATTGTTATCACACACTGTACCACACAAATGGATTAATAACAATATCCATCATAGCAGTGGTAATTTGTTGACTATTATGGTTGCATTCAGAACAAGTTGATCCGAGGACTAAATATGGCCGACTAACTTAAAAGCTATGCCAACTAATTCCCTGACTGCCTCCACACAAGCCGTCGCTGCAGGGGCCTTGCAATTAAACCTGAGATTTAAATCCATTTAATGGTGCGTGTGGAGGCAGGGAGACCATCAGAGGATTAAGCGGCGCTGCCGTGAAGTTTAGGCGGCCATATTTAGTCGGCAGGTCAGTTAGTTCGCAGATCATCTGTTCTGAATGGTCTCTAAGTATATAAATATATAATGTTATGCAAAGGCCTGTACATTAGGGAAATGTACACAACCCCTTTACAATTGACAGGCAACAGAGGTGACACTGATAGATTTATCTATTAAAATACCAATTGGGTTTTGTATGAAGTAGAAAGTTAGATAAATGGCCATTTATGGGGGACAATAAAGGATGAGAAGAGGGCACAGACGTGGCATAATATCAATGAAGTTAAGATGGATGTTGTTTTGGGCCTGTCACTTTTTCTTTTTAATGTGACTGCGGTGTTTGGTCATATCGAATTAAATGCTTGTCTCTTTTGCCATCAAACTTAAATGTGAGTGTTATCATGGCTCATTCTGTCATTTAATTTGGGTACATATTATTCAGATAACTCCTTCCAATTAATGGTTTTGCAATATTAATCGCCCTGACAGTCTGTGCTGTGGACGCCTTCTAACTTAATTGCGTGTTCATAGAATATGCACAAGTGGCAAGAAGGAATGTCACCTTGGATAAAATTGCACCAGTGGTTTGTCCTTGTTTTAAGCCCTGTATAACAGATGAGGAAGGCGTGATAAGTAATGGATGACCTTGGCGGAGGTCTGCTTTAAAACTTAAACTATGACTATGTATTTTCTGAATCACATGACTAAGTCCCCATAGTAAACTATGACAAAAAGTGATAAAACTTTTTAGAATAAAACTTTTTTAGAATAAATGGTTAAACATCAGCTGGTTGGTGGATTTCTTGGTTGAACGGCTAGCTGGTAAGACAGTTTACTGGTTGGCTATCTGTCTTATTGGTTTGATGGTTTGCCAAATTGTTGGAGGAGTGTGTAGTAGGCTAGATAGATGGCTGACTGGCTGGTTGGTTGGTTGGTTAGAAGAATGCATGGGTGTTTGGTTGATTGCAATTGGCTAGTTTGTTTCAGGAGACATAAAGGCTTGATAGATGGTTGATTGGTTGGTTGGTTGGTTGGAAAGAAGGAAGACTTGATGGTTGGTTGGTCACAATGGGCTAGTTTGTTGGAAGAAAGTTTTGTGCTCTAGATAGATGGTTGGTTGGAAAGATGGCTGGTTGGCTATTTGGTTGAATGGTTGGTTTGATGGTTGGCTTACTGCGTGGTTGTTTGCTTTCCTATAACTAGCTGGTTTAATGTTTCATGGGCTGACTGAACATCATGCTGGCTAGTTATGTATAGTTGAATGATTGTGTAATAGCTGTACTAGCACAGTGTGAAATCTGCGGGTAAACTGTCTCCCCTTTTATGGTATTCTGACAAATGTAATGCATGATTATTCACAAACATTAGTACGTGGCAACGTGCTCATTTGGTGGAATCTGCTGTCTCTAATGTTGTAGAATTTTAATGTGTTTGGAGTTTGAGATGATACTAGCTTCCGCTTATAGCACTTTTACTCTTGGTCAATGATGTTCAATTCTATGATCCGTTGGATTGACTTTTTTCTCTAACATGACCGCCATAATTGATTTTGTTTCTGGAACCATTTGTATTTATTGTTGTTGCTGACAGCATATCATGATGGTATACAATATTCAACATAAGGGTTCGTAGTTTCTGCATCATGCAAGTTTTTAGTCTTTATCAATTGTGTACAGCTCCCTTGCTCAAGGAAATGGGATTTTAGCTTGTGGTTTTAATTGGAAACTTTTTTCTTGTAACCTATACATTTACTAATTTGAATATAAGAATTGGTTTAAAGATCTACCCTATTATGCGACACTAATGTTTGTGTTGTATTCTGAATCTCTCTCTCTCTCTCTCTCTCTCTCTCTCTCTCTCTCTCTCTCTCT